ACAAGGACTAGATTTCAAGTAAAGTATTTCAGAGATTAAAAACCAGATTAGTTACTTGCCTTATACTAACTGTAAATTTATTAATTTTATTAAGCACTCAATCAGGGCAGAGTATTTGATTTCCCACATTCCACTTTTTATTGTGAAGCTCTTTGTTCACATCATGGTGTTTTGCTGTACTGATCTAACTGCTACACAAATGAAAAATCTTGAAATACCTTTGAATGTGTGAATACTTTCAATAGTGCTTATTTTTAATCAGCCTTTACCATTGAGTAAAAGCAAAAACTAGCTGCACAATGCTTGCAATTTCTGTAACTGTAATTCAAATTAAGCAACTGCCTTTTTATATTTTCATTCTAGCAGTTTGAGCTAAGATCTGCTGCCCTGTTACTTCACTTCCTATCCATACTTTAAGCCTGCAAGTAATATGCAGAGCCTAGCAGACAATCCCATAAATAGTTCAAGACCTTGAAAACCACAATGTAGCCAGTTCCTAACTTTCTTCCAAAATAAGGCATACTAGAAGCAAAATCTTCCACTGAAAAAAATATTTTTAATACAAACCAGTTACAGAAATCCCTGACAACATGCAATTAACAGACTACGTGACAGCAATCACCAATGTGAACGAATTCATTACAAAATCCAGATGACTGTTCTGGGGTTATGCTTACCCTGAACACAGACATCTAACACATTTTATTAAGGCCATAAATAGGTCCAATACCTGCTGAACTACCTAATGGAAGTGGTCACGTCCTGAAGCATGAAACACGAAAGTGTCTTCAGATATACCTTTTGAATTGAGCCAGAGGGACTCCATGTCTTTCTTCTTACACTTCATAAAAAAGAAAATAGTGCTGTATCTCACAGCATAGTAACTGAAGAAATGCTGTCCACATTAAACATCAAGCAGATCTTGATAGATGCATGTGCACGGTCACTTCATTCTTATGCCTTCCACACTGCTACCTTATAATGAAATAGCAGGAAATTGGATTTGTATTTCACTGCCTAACTCTTCTTGCATTTATACTGACATAATATTACCCACAAATATAAGCACATGCACCGTATACAGAGAGTGCACATATATGAACACTGTACACATAGAAAAATTATGCCTGAGATTTTTAGAAATGGGTATCTGAAGTTAGATTTACAGATTCACACTGAAATACAAGTACTTTGAAGTCCACTCTTCACACATATAAGCGAAGATTTTCAAAGCCTGGTGAAAGAATTTCTAAAAAAGTTAATCTGCTCTGCCTCTGAATGTAATACACACACACATATGTGTCTATAGCAAAACTTTTATGAATTTTGGAGAGAATGCAATGAGGTTGTTTTAGGTTGATTTGACTGCAGAAATTAATCCACTGAAGAATGGATCAGAAGCTGAGAGTAAGTACAAGCATAAATATGTATCTGCAAAAGCCCTTTAGACACCAGATACCTTACAGGAATTGCAAGTGCTTGAAACACCATGCTGAAATGCAGCTCAGCAACTGGAAACAGCATGTCAAATTTCACTCTCATTTACACCTATAAAAAAGTTCGCAGCAACTCTACTGAGTGAAATGGTGATGTTGTCGATGAGATTAAAGTAAGAGCAGACTGTGAGCCTCCATCTGTATAGAAGTACTAAACAAGCGTAGTATAAATGTACAGTAAGAGTAGTATAATCAAACAAGTTCAAAGAAACTCTAGGGGTTTGCTGTGGAGAGAGGATGGGAGACAATGGTTTAGATACACCCTTCTCCTTAGCATCTTTGCACAGACTCTGTACACATTCCCACAGTCCCCTGGCTCTGCAGCCACCCCTCCCACCCCTGCTCAGGCTGGGGCTGTGTCTGCCCTGCAAACGAAAACTGAATAATATCCACACAAACACAAGTACATATCCAGATTTACCATCACCTTTTACGCTCCAAGCCAAGGCAATAAAACAGCTTTACTGCTTTGGACTTTAAAAAATAAGCGATCACATACTGTATGGGCTTAAAATCCATCATCAGCCTTCACAGAACATATTTAAAAACATCCCAATCGTCACAAAATGTGGATTAAATTAGTACAGCCAGACTAGGCTTCACTTCACAGCACTATTTTCCTCAGCTGCTCCTGCTCTAGTTTCCAAGAAGTGATGCCACTGGCACAAAACTGAATTCAAAACAGCAATCACTGACCAAAAGATCTAGCTCATTTTTTGTGACAATGAAAGTCATTCTTCATAAAAATTCTTCCCAAACAAAAGGGACTGCATGTGGTATCCATGGCATATCAGTGAGAAGTACAAAACTCAGCAGAGGAAAAGATTCCAAACCTTGCCAACTCCTTGCAAAAGGAGTTAGGTTTGGGGTTTCTTTCTGCTTCTCTTTATTATGTGCTTAACAGTAAGTCGTTATTAGAAAAATTCAAGAAAGTAAATGTAATGTTCCATATGCACTGGAACTGCCTACTTCTTTGTTTTTACACTCTAAATAAATAGTAGGAGAGGTCTCTCCCATTTTTTTCTCCACTTAGAATAGCAAATAGTTGTTTCTGTACTTTTCCCCTCCCTAGCTTTCCCCCAGTAAATAGGTGACTGACATCAAACACAGGGAAAAAAGAGATGACGAATTAAAAAAATAGGTTGGAGAGTTTTAATTCCATTGACATCACCCCTGCTACATCTTTGCTTGTGACAGTGGAGAGCAATTTCAATGATGCAAACCCTGAATTCTGGTCCCGTGCCTTTTCTTAAAAGACGAAAGATACAGGAATTCCTGTTTTGTTACAAATGGTGCGATTTTGAAATTTTCAACACAAATTCCATCCAAACATTTTTTTGCTGTTGCTGTTGTTTCAGAAATTAAATCTAAAATTTTCATGCTGATTACAAACATTTCCTGATCCAAACCAAAACAATCACATTTCACTTCAAAGTGTGTAATATATTTCATGAGAAAGTGTCAAAATGTAATACTTTCCCCTTTTCTGAGCTGACAAGTCTTAGCAGTCAGTCTGATTTGAGCAATGGCACTATTCAGGGTAAGGAAGGTAGGGGGAAATTAACTGCAAAAAATAGAAGAGGTGAACCATACAAAACAGAAAAAAGTGAGGTGGTGGAGGGTAAAGACACTTCTAACAGCTGGGCAAGCAGAGATGGCACAAGAAGGGCTTCCCTCTGGAGACACGGAGGCATCAGGTTCACGCTCACAACTGAGCTGGGAGCTGGAGATGGGAAGTCCAGAGACACTCTTGCTGCCACTAGTCTCCATCCATCCATCTCACCAAGGTCTGTCTATTCCTTCATATTATCAGTGCAACCATACTACCACAAACCAGTCCTGGTTTGGGATACTGGGACCACTTTCCTTCACAATTACCCAGCTGACAGCTCAGCTACTCTGCAGGAGGCTGCAAGACGACAGAGCTCAGCTCTACCCACCATGATCATGCCGAGACACAAGCTCTTCTTCATCTCACTGGGGCTACAGCGGGACCATAACCCTTGGCACTAGGATGAGGTGCCTTTCTTCAGGACAGCTCCCCACACCAAGGAGTTTCAAAAAAAGGGTTGACTTCACACAGAGTTTAACCTGCTAGTTCAGGTGGGCAGTTTTCTTTTCCCTCCTGCGCTGCTACAGCTGGGGTCTCAGGACTCCCACCCAGTCCCCTTCACCACCCCATCACTCTGCACGTGCTGTGCCAATGAACACCACCTCCACCACCTCACGATTGTGCCCAGCCTAGCACCTTGTGCTTTCCAAAACAAAAGAATTTGTTTTCATTCATAACTTTTATTCCTTCCCAGTGGATGTGAGGAGCTAGAGACCCCCTGGGCTGTGCCTATATAAGCTCCAGCCCCTAAAGCATCCAGCCAGCAAGTCAGAAGATACATAGGAGACAATAAGCAGACCTTGAGTCTACAAATTGGAGGATGAATGATTGGCAAACAACCTCTCCTCATGAAAAATTATGCTACAGCAACACAATAGTAATAGGAGCCAAAAGTATGTCTATTCCTGATTTGTAGACCAGGTTTTAGTTATGCTATAAACCTCTCAGTATGCCTGCTTAGGATCCCACAATCACACGAGTCATGAACACTACCCACAAATCCTGCAGCTTCCATGCCGAGCAACCGACACACCAGATGAAGGATGGAAAATATACATGTGGAATTGTTCTGGGAACTTAAAGCACACATAACAGTAAACAAAGCAAATATGGTGTAAAACCTGTTGCTATTTTCACAGCATTTGTGGAGCAAAGCTGCATAAATGCAGAAAGATGCATACTGCCTCACACCTTTCCTCCAATCCCAGCAAATTAGAAACAGCAGCACAAACAGCAGCCGTGAGAAGGAAACACTATGTAGAAGAGCTGCCCCGTTTGTTGCTGCACTACAGGTATATGTTTGGATATGTGAGAGAGAGCTGAATAATGAGTGTTAAAATTACTTTCCCTCATTCCTCCTCCAAAACCTCAGCTGTTCATGGGGAACTGAATGGGGAAAGATTCCCTCAGCACCATCCTCCCTCCTCCAGGCACAGTCTAAGCCAGCTTGAGAAGGTTGCTGCTGCTGTTCCCTGTCCCACTTGGGGACAGCCTTCACAAAGCTAGTGCCAGTTTGGTCTGGTAACGAAAAGGCTGCCTCTGCTCCCAGAGGAAAAGGCAGTGCTCTGTTGGATACCGGAGCACTTGCTGAACAAGAGGCACTACAGACAAATTTTGGCTGGTGGCAGGAGAGATGGCTGAAAGCCAGCTGACAGAGAAGAGCAATATCAATCTCTATACCAGGGGAATCCTCTGAAAATACTACTGAAGCAAACAGCAACTGCTAATGGCACAGTGGCAAACAAGACATGAGCGATCCTGCGCTCAATAAAGGAGAGAAAAAGGCAAACGGCTGAACTGAAGTGATCAACATGAGCTTGAACCATGGCACAGGGCAAACATGTGGCATGCCGTATGGAAACTCAGAACAAAACAGAAAGCTTGGAACAAACTGAAATTAAAAATCTGCTTTTATTTTAAATTACTCTGCTAAACATGTAACTGAAAATTGTGTTGAAGTTGACGTGACTTTGTGACATGTTGCTCCTTGAAAACTGCCATTTCCCATCAAACAAAAAAGGTATTAAAAACGTTTCAATCTGGTTACCTTCTATCCAGCAGGCTAGAAAACATTAAATCATGAGCTAAGAAATCACACCATACCATTAGTCAACAAGAGACAGCTGTTCAGCCAGCATCTGTCGTATTTTCAAGAAGCCATACATACCAAATGCCTGGAAAGGAAGGATGGCAATCACTCCACACATGTATATAGAACTTTTAATGCATGTGATAAATTAATTCTTTTAAAGACAAGTCCCATTCAACCTCCCTTTGCTTACTGTTTCTAGATATAACCTATCTGAGGAAGGGTGATCAAACAACCACTTCCAAAATAGATAAGCCTGGAGCATGATGGCGTTCTGTTTGGAGCAGTCTTCTACTGGACAGACTCACACTAAAGCATCCCTGAAAGAGTACCTAAGCTGCCCAATCTAGGGTTTATTTGATTAATGGAATTTAGGAAAACATTTAAATTCTTTCTGTATAATTTCTAGTAAGTATGTAAATGAAATCAGATCAAGACTCTGAAATCGGATCAAGAGGAGTTAAAATTAAGGATCTGGAGCATCTCTCCTATGAGGAAAGGCTGGGAGGAGACCTGGGACTGTTTACCCAATAGAAGATCAGGCTCAAGGGGGACCTACCTCATCAGTGTGGGGGGACCTCATCAATGAGGGGAACTCAACCAACCCCTGAAGGGAGGGTGCAAAGAGGATGGAGACAGGCTCTTCCCAGTGGTGCCCAGCGACAGGACCAGAGGCAACAGGCACGCACTGAAACATGTAAGAAAAAGCCCTTTCACTTTGAGGGTGAGCAAACACAGGAACAAGGCTGTCCAGAGACATTGTGGAGTTCCCCTCGTTGGAGATACTCAAAAGTCATCTGGACACTCTTTTGAGTAACTGCCTCTAGGTGACCCTGCTTGAGCTGGGGGGTTGGACCAGATGACCTCCAGAAGACCCTGCCAACTTCAACCATGACTCTGTGATAAACAGATGAATTATCATCACTTACGCAACACCATGTAAGAAGAAATAAATCAAGAAGTAACAGGGAAAAAAGATTCCATGTTCATTATGGCAAGAAAAGCTCTTTATCAGACAATTGTCAGTAATACACCTACTGTCCTATAATACACCTGAAGGCATAATGACACTAGAGAGATGGCTCCACTAAGCTCAGCTACCAGGCCTAAAGCTAACACAAAATGCTTGTACATAAAACTCAAACACACCTACATTAAAGTATAAAACTGTATCCATGAATTTTCAACCCCCTCTAATTCACTAAGTTCAGAAAAATAATTTCCATTGACAAACTCTATGGCTATAGTGAATGACCAGAATGGGAGTTGAAACAACCATCACCAGCGCAAAAGGCAGTGAATGGTCTATTTTCATTCTTGCTCTCTGTCCTCTAAGGAATAGTACAATCATAGAAACACCTCCTAGGTTATGTAGTTTATTTGCCTGCCGGTGTGAGACTCTTCCCTACGACAATTTTTAACACCTGCTTTTGCCAAGTTAAGAGCAATGTGTCGCATCTGAGGAAAATGAGCTTATTATAAGCCCCCTCAGACACTGTATTTTGCAGTACCCAACGGATCACGGTGCTGCATCGTATAACAGGGAAGGTGCCAAATTGTTCAGACAACATGCTAGCTTGAAACCGGAAAGTCAGCAATATAACAGGACTCCTCTGAGTACTGGGCCCCTATACAAATACTCTCGCCCCCTTGCTACACAGCACAGTGTCCCCTCCCCTGACCAAGGCACAGATGATCAGTCCTAGCATCTCACAACTGTAAAATGTGCAACCACAGTGCCATGCAGTAGTGACATGCAAGAAGTAGCCCAAGCTGTGAAACAGTGAGAGGAAATCTTGTAAGTCTCATACTTAGATGAAGCTTTACATCCCCCTGGTCTTCCAGCAGGCCATACTGCCTTCCAGGGATCCCACTGGAAATCACCAGTCTCTCTCACCCTGCGGACAACTATGAAAAACAAGTTCAACCATGGTCACCTGAAGTCATGCACAAGAGGAAGAAAAGCAACCCTAAAGGAGGTGGCTGAAAAAGAAGTGACCACCATGAAAATACGTAGAGAAAATGCCAGAAGGCTAATGCAATCATCCTCTATTCAAACACCCAGTTACACGTGACTATTGGCTGCAGGGTGCCAACTTTTCACCCAACCCATTGGGGTGAAATATTTTTGGTGTCATCTTTTGCTAGGTAATAGTTTCCTTGCAAGGTTTTTTACATGAAACCTAAATCACACAAAAGCAGAGTGCCCATTTATTTAAACATTTTTTCCAGTATATCTGCTTCCCATCTGCAAAGGTAATCAGAAATTTTCAGCCACATTTCTAACTATCTAACTATCTCAGAGAATGAACCGAGAAAGCCAGACATAAACTGCCCAAGATTAGAAAATATGGAGCAATCTATAATAAATAAAATATACAATACTCCCCTACTCTCAACTTTAGATGCAGAAAAGACCATTAAAAGTTATATTAAAATAAGGCAGCACTAAAAAAGTATGACATGACAAAAATAAGACTCTTTACATACCAGTAGCTCTTTCACCATAAGAATATACACTATAAACAGCCTATTTTTCAGAGACACTTGGTATTTTTCTGTGCATTTAAACACAGATGTGGATGCTTAGCAATTTTAAAACAAAGTCATTTACTTAGATAACTAAGTATAGATTAAGGTACTTCATTTTATATACGTTCTTTTAAAATATTGTGTTTGTTTATAATATTATTTAACACCTAGAGATAGAATCCTTACATATGGATTCCAACAATAAGTCACCTGCCTTTGCATTTAAAAAAGAAACAGAGATTTGAGTCTGCTATGAAGGTACGTGTATGAGTACAGGAGTGCATTCATGTGTGTGCATGTGCATACTTTGTATACAAGTTACCTATGCATACAACAGGTGAGAACAGAAAGAGACCTAGGAAAATAAACAATTAACATGTTAAAAGTATTTCATTAGTGTGAGAATAAATGCAGTTATAGAATGTAAAGGCCTGTATCATTCAGCATATCAAAAACTGTTATGAAGCAGGAACACTGTTTTGTTAGAAATGCCCATATCTGACTGGAGACAAACGGAAGAATCAGGACTGTTCCAACAGTTCAAAAAATTTCATGGAGCCACTGCACTGCAGTATTTCACTACTATTTCTAAACACAGAACATGGATGTTATCAAGCTTCCTGAAACACTGTCTTCATAAAAGGTTTTGCCAAATGAATTAGTCAACAACATATAACAAATGTTTCCCTGGAGTGTGCCTTATTTTGTACCACTCACAAGCAAAACAAAGGTTTTGAAGAGGAATAATACATTTTGTTACACTAACAGGTCTGGCTGAAAAAAACAAAACCAAATTAAAAAAAAAAAACCACAAAACCAAACCAAACAAAAATATCAAAAACAAAACAAAAAACAAGCAAACAAACAAAAACAGTATTTTTTTTTTTTTTAAGCACACAAGTTTTTCTTACCTATTTGTTTCCTGTACTGGTCAACAGGAGTTCTTGCTGTAGAAGCATCTTTTCTACCCATGGTTTTCAATCCAAAAATTACTGTCAACAGCAGGGGAAAAAAAAAAAAAAGAAAAAAAGTAAACATTATTCCTAAATAACTTACTAAGGAAATCAATGACATACAACATTGGAAAAAACTAACATGTGACATTCATGTTATGCTATGATTATACACAGTCATAAGCCTTCCCAGAGTACACGACACCAGAGTTAAATCATCACTACTCTGACGACTCTTAATAAATTCTAACATACCTTTTTCCCCATTGCATGGGTTATTAACATTACCAAATACCTGTTAGTTTGAATAAAAAAGAGGAAAAGATTTAAACTGACTGCGCAGTAACTCAGCATCTGGTACCACTGAATTTCATTCTTTTGTATGGTATGGTATGTTTTTTCTTGGGTTTTTTTTTTTTGTTTTTTTCGTAAACCAGGGAGTGAATGTTGCATTTTGAGCTGCTTCCGTTGTTGGCAAACACATTTACAATATGTCTGACACAGGACTAGGCATGTGTGCATGCACTAGTGTAATTGCTGCAGCCACAGCCCTTCAACCACCTTGAGCTAAACAGAGGAACAGATACCTAAAACACAACAACCCCACACTCCACCTTCCTGCCACTAGCTCTACAGATCTGTGAATGAAAAGAAAGTGGAGAATAAAAGGTGAGAGCTGGAGCTGTGCCCTTTTTACACCTCTCAGCGGAGGTATTGAGAATTTAGATCACCTTCAATGCATTTAAGTAACAACCGTCCTGACTCTCGAATGGGCTTCTCACATTACACAGCACAAACAGGTGACACAAGGATTGCACAGGAAACTGCATCATCATTCATCTAAAGATGCTCTTTTGGTACTTTGTTACTGTCACACCATCAGTGTAACTGAACAAGTGTCATCTGACTTGTGTTCCAGCAAATTCCAAATATGTCCATTTAATCTGGAAAACCTTATGGTCTCTTATTCATCTCTTCACAGGGCTGCCACTCAAATGGTACAGAAAGATTCTACAAATATACTCATTTCACCTCTTTTTCCACAGTCAAAAAATATCCGCCTTTTACAGTCACAGTTGTTCCTCAAAACACTATTTTTCAACCATTTTGGATGGGCTGAATATATCACTCATCACAATGGTGGTAAGCCCCACCATTTGACCACCTTTATGACAGAAGCCTCCAAACACCAACCTCTGCACTCACAGGAAGGCTGACATTTTCCAGTGTCAGATTTACTGTTTGAGCGCAGAAGATGCACAACAGCCAACACTTGCTTTTTCCCAACCAGCCTTGGCAAGTTGTGCCAAGGGCAAACTTCAGCTGAACTGTCCCAGGCAACCACAGACTGTCTACAGATTGTGCACATATGGCTCTGAAGTATCTGTGAGTTATACTTCTCTGTTAGGCATTACCAGATGCATTACAGCAAGACGAGCTTCCCCAGGCTCTGCCAAGGCGCACTGTCTGGGAAGCGCAGCCCTTAAAGGCACTGTGATGCCAAATCATGGGCCAAAAAGCATGCCAAGACACTGCTAAATGCACTACCATCAGCATCTCAGCCTTAAACATGTACCATTATCTCCTTCATAGTTTCAAACAAGGTTTAATGTACAGCTGCAGGAATGATCCCATCAGTTATTTATGTGTTTTCAATCCACAAAGTTTCATCTTTTGCATTTATCTCTTCTGTAAGAATTATAGGCATTTAATGCCAAGTGACAAATCCTTAATTTAAAGTGTGGGACACAGCTTAAAAGAACTTAGGTGCTCAGAAGTCAACACCTTTTTTTAAAAGGTATTCAGAAATAATAACAAGGTATAAAAGATTGCCATTATTTCTTAATCCAAACTGAAACCTCAATCATAGTGTTCTAATGTTTCCATACATTACTTTTGTTTAACACAGAGCATACCCCTATCTTATGTAAAACACGTAACAGTGAACTGTGAACAGTGAACTGTAATCCACTGGTGGTTTTGCCCCTCTAATATGCTTCCCAGCTACTCTCTTGACTGAGTTTTATTTCTCACATAACATTCACATCGAGTGGAAAATAAAAGTACCATTTGAACTTCTGGCTAGTTGGAGATAACATATATTTTTACACTGCAAAACTAGTTTTTGGCTTTTTTATGCCACTTTTAGAGACTGTTTTGACTTGCCTTTTGCAATTTCAATAGCCTAATGTTTTGTAACAAAACATAAGCAGTGAAAGATGCCTGCAGTTTTAACAGTGCCAATAAGACTCAAGAAGGAAACACAGACAAAAAATTATTTCCTGACTTAATAGTAGCCACTGAAATGCTCATTTTTGCTCGTGTGGCTCAGTGTCACCAACTGCCGCATCTAGAACCCAGACTCCTCTTTGTTCTTCAAAGGGATGCAGTAATCATCATTCATGTCCACCGCTTTGATGGTTAGATAGCAAAGGCCCAAGAAACCCATGGAGACATTAGCAAATACAGCCGCAATGTCTAATAAGGCAGCTATCTGCATAAAAGATCAGCCACAATTTAGAATGTGTTGTGATAGATGTGGAAAGGGAATAACAGATCTGTATTAGCATGTACGAAACAGAGATTGTTTTCACAATTTAATTCCTCAGGGACTGGGGCTCATCACCTTCTCTTGTAAAGAATTGTGCATTCCCCAAGGAAGCAACTTGCCATGAGCCAGAGTTTAACTAAAATATGGATTAATACGAGATAATATTTATTATTTATGAACCTTGCTGCAGGAGTGCTCTCCAATGTAACTTTCTGATCAGATTTTCAAGAAGGAAAATCCTGGAACCTTTATGAGCCATGAAACAATTTGAAAAGCATGTTTTCTATATTTAAAATAGGAGTGGTCATCCTGGAATAACTGGTCATCCTAACTTTAGTGTAAGCAAAGTTAGCACTCAAGTCTTTTCCAACTGGCTGCTCCACTGCCTTCAATGCCAGCAAGTGGAAGATCTAGCTTTTGCTGTATTTTTTTGCCAAACCAAATGGATAGGCAGTGCATCATGCTGTGTGTACCCCAGCAGCATTCAGGTCCCTGGAATTCTAATGACTACATAACTAGTTAAGAAACATGTAAAGGAGTTGTCACTGCTTTTCTTTACAGGCTACTAAAAATACTTCAAGAGTAACTATTTGAAGGCAACATGAGCCCTCCTTAACTTTCAAGCTTTTCCATAAGCTGGTTTTAAGAAAATAAAGCAAGGTCCAAAGGAATTATTTTGTATTTATTGCCGTTATGGACATATACAAGGTCAAAATACATCCTTGCTTTTGTGGCACCCTTCACTGTTTTATCACTCTCTTTCTCTTACCCTTCAGTAGTTCAGCTTTGAAGGCTTACACCCTCAGCACACATCATTCTTCTCCTCTTTTATTCATAAGCAGTGACTGATAATTAAAAAAACACAATAAATTGCCTATTATAACCTCCCACAATCAACAGCATTTTGTGAGACAGAAAAACAGTTCTGATTGTTCATTCAAGGTCTGACCACAGTAGTGTTTAAATCCCAACTCACTGTTATTGATGCATATAAAGCTTGTATCAACAACAACAAAAAAAATTAAAATCAAGTACTTGAATGAAATAGAAACATACCATGACTGATTTCAGAAATACCAAGAAGTACAGGGACTATATAGCACAGAGATTGAACTTTGTGAATTCATGGTGTAATACAAATGATTAATAACAGTGATAAGGCTTACAGTGTGAACCAGTGAACACTTGAAGATCCATGTATGTGCACATGGGCAAACTTTCTTAGGAGTAATATTTGACAATATGTCTGTATTCCTCAACAACAAGCTGCCTAACATAGAAGGTATGTTAAAGAAATAATGGTCAGTTTTGTAGCAGAAATAATGGTCAGTTTTGTAGCAGAAATACACCTGACAGATTAGATAGAAAAGAACCACTACAGAATCTAAAGGTACTGGACCGAGTCTTCAGCTGTAATTGAAAATGCAGGCGAATGCACAGTGAATATGTGTATATATGCAGAAGTAACTTATCCTTAATTGCAAATGAATATCTAACTCAACCCCCAACCCCTTTTTTTTTTTCTTCCTTTTTTTTTTGTTGGATACAGTGCATGTTGATAATCTGAACCCACAACCCAAATAATTTTTTAATATGATTCAAAGCTTACTGATGTCAGTGAAAGAATTCATCTTTTACCAGTCAATTCCATAGTTCATAGTTTAATAAAGGATATTAAAACACAAGTTACAAGAGAGCAAAAACTGCCTTTTATCCTCCTCGGGTAAAATCCAAGGAGCACATCAGATCCTCTGTGAACATCAAGTTATTCCAAAGAAACGTTAGCACTGCATTTAAAGTGGGAAGCTGTCTGCATGTAGGTATTTTGGAAATCACTGCTGTTGGTTATTTTAATTGCTTTTTTTGGCGCATTGCTGAAGTACAGAAACTAAGGTCTGTCTGTACAGCAGTGGAAGAAATGCAGTGGAATTAACCCACAGGCAAAATTGCAAGAACAATGCAGCTGAATTTTTTAACCATACTTTAACCAAAAGAATTTAAAAAACTTTACTACTACTACTTACAAAAAACCCAAACACAATAAACATAGAAACAAACAAAAAAAATGAAAGACCCAACCAAAAACGTTCCATGTTCTACTGGTAAGTCTTCACCATTCCTCTGGAAAATCTCTGTCAAAGGATGACACATCAAGGAAAGAGTACCTGCCCATCATGCTTCTTGCCGAATCTAGCTCTATCTTCCTTGGGGATTTATTTCATTATCTTTTAATGAAAGGAATGTAACATTTCTTTACTTAATTTAACCTTGAAAGTAGCAGAGATGAGTTAAATTCAGTTAAATTTGGGAAAATAAAAAAAAAAACAGCATCCATAACTCTAGCTGGAACAAGTATTGCTAAAATAATCTTATCTTTTTGCACAAGGACAACAAACACTGTACTGTATCCCAAGATTAAAACCATCTAGGAATTACAACTTTTACTCTGATGTATACAAGGCTGTTTCACAGCTTCATGTAAACACTA